GGAAAAAATAAAAGCTAAATAAATAAATAAAAGAGATACAAACAAAAAGAAGAACAATTTTTTGGTAGTGGCGGTGGATAGGAGGATAGGAGGGGAAGGGGAAATTCATTTTAAAGATCTCAACGCTTTTGTTTTGTCCACTCATTCTCACCTACCAAAATTGATTTGCTTTTGATACTTCAGATATTTTTAAAATAAAAAACAAATAAATACAACCCATGCTATTTCCAATTTTATAAAGATAAGGAGGCATTTTATTTCCTGCAAATCACAGTATGATACATATACAAAAATAATTTATAAAAAAAACATAAAAGACAAGGACTAAAGTGATAAAAGCGGCAAACTACAGAGATCAAAAGTGTCTTTTTATAATATAAAAAAATTATATTGAAACTTTGAACTAATGCTAAAAACTACAATGTTTATGTCAAATACCAAACATCAAATTTAAATTTGATGGCTGATATGGCAATTTGACATCTTACGCAGCTTTACACTCCACCTAATATGTCAAATTAAATTATTATTTTATTACATTTTAGTGTTAATTCATTTTTAATTAAAAAGAAAAGAAAAAAATAATAAAATATTCATTTGACATCTTGTTTTTGGGATGTCAAAAATAACATCTCAACCTCCAACCTTAATTCCACATTAGCTTTGACCAGTGGCGAAGCCAGGATTTCATGTGTTTGGGGGCCTCTTACAAATTATAAAGAATAAAAAGTTCGAACTCATAATACATATGAAAAATAGTATATATATATATATATATATATCACATATGTCAAGAATTATATTGCTTATTAGTTGCAATCATAATTGTCCTCAACAAAGAGATAGACAAATACATTTTAAGGAAGAAAAATTGTAAGAGATAGACAAAGATTAGTGATTTAGTAAATATCTTTAAAGCTTTTTCCCCCATTAAACCCAATAGAAAGAAAAAATCAAAATTTCACAAACTAAAAAAAACCTTAGGTCCCTTCATACATTCATATCATACATGAAAAATGGTTTATGTAAAAATATTGACTAAGTATGAAGAATGATTTTTCGAAATAATCCTTTTCTCAAGATAATTTTTTGCGGCTTTTATTCCTTACACAAAAAATAAGAAAACTTGATTTTATGGGATTTTAGTATAAAGTATATATTGACTTAATGAGCCATCATTTTTAGCCTAAATCGTATTTTGCACTAAAACTGATTTTTCATATTTTGATTTTGTGGGAATTTGATTTTCTAGTATTTTTGTTTGAATCCAAATATGGGGTACTTCCTTATTTACATTGTAAACTTAAGTAAATTGAGTAATATAAAAATAAATTAAAGTAAAAGGGCAAAGACATTTACTTAAATGCTGAAAATGGAAATAAGGTAATCTGTACACCTGGAGTGCACCACCACCAACTGAGCAAAGGGGCAATTTGAAGCACCTTATTATGCCTTAATAAATCCGCCACAACACATGTGGGTACATATCAAAACGTAAAGTATTTTATATAATATACATATATAAATACATAATAGTATATTACTTTTAAAATATATAAAAACTTGAGTAGGGGCCCGGGACCACACTGGTCTCAGTGTGGCTCCGCCCCTGGCTTTGAGGTTGGAATGATATGAAATGTTATTTCTAACTGTTAAATATTTACGTGCCATATTTGACACATCAGTTGAAGATGCCCTTATATATTATTTAAAGTATCGCTCACATTATGTACACTTCTCTTTCCGATTCAATGATAATATTTTTTCAGTGATACTTCTCTTTTACATTATTTTGTGGTGTATGTGACTTGGGAGGGACCCCATGTTGCAGCTGTAAATCCAAAATTTTGAGCAGCATTCAATTAATGACTACGAACATCAAACATTCAACACGAAAACTTCCATAAGGAAGCGTTCGTGCCTAACGCGGATAGCAATAGCTATCACCACATTATGTATGGAACAAGAAATTGAAATGGGGCCTTTGATGGGGATTGCATTGCACGTCCTGTGTGAATGCTGCTGCCACAACTATTTCAATTACTACACATTTAAAATGAGTGTTTCATATTTCTTGAACATCGTGGCGGAACAAATTATGAAAAACTTAAAGTTTGTAATGAGTGTAAATATGTTTTGTTTGATAAAAGCTGACTAAAGTTTGTTCAAAACAACCCCGTTTATATCTAACAAATTTATTAAATTCTTAATCTTATAAAACCTCATGTATAGAGGTAAACACTCTTAATCACACTGAATTGTGGTTTCACGGCCTAATTAATGTTGAAGGCACACCTAATAAGTAGTATGGCCAGTTTTGAGATCTTAAGGACCCTGTACAAAACTTAAACTGAGACTCTCACATAATTTAATACAAAAATAGTAAAAACAATAATTTTCCATAACTTAATATCATAAAAAAATTATTTTTATATAACTAAAATTCATCATCAACAATGGCACAAATGTTGAGTGGTCTTTATGAATTTAAGAAATAGGATATTCATGTTTTGGTGTTGAAATTCCTGAATTTGAAATAAAAACAAAAATTCTCAAAGGATTGAACAAAAGAGCCAAAGAGAGATTGATGAATGATAATGATGATGATTAACTTTTTCTTTCCTTTTGGTGTTGATTGGAGGTGAAAACATGAGGGTATATATACCGATGTTTATTTATTTATTTTATATATAAATGTTTTTACAAAGGAAAAAAAAAGTTTGTAAAGAATAAAAATGCACACTAAAGGCCTTTATTTCTACTCGAAAAGGCCTTAAATGAAGAGAAATGTGTTTGAAACCAAACAAGCCAAACACATGCTTGTCGTGTCAATGTGCTGCACGATGGAATATATAAAATGTTTATAGTATTAATATATAAGATAATATACACATAAAATATTTTCGGGGGCCCTTAAAAATTGGGGGTCCGTGTGGTAGCGCCACTTGCACTACCCAAGAGCCGCCCTAATAAGTAGCAAGTTAACCCTTGTTTTTTTAGTTAATGGAGAGGAGATTTGAACTCGTGATCTCTTCCAACATTAAGAGTAGTAAAACAATTCTTGCGAGAAAAAGAAAAACAGAAAAATAAAATAAAGTGATATTCCTAATATAAGGGGGATTAGCTAAAAGAATCTTTAGTATCTTCATTTATGGTCTTGGGCTTAGCATTGTCTGCCATTGTTAATTCTGATTCAGATTCCTCTATCTCTTTGTTTAATGCCTGGTCTACCTTTAAGTTAACAAACCAAATCTACCATTACTTCTTTTGCACTATACCTAGAGGCTAGGGCAGCTAATGCAATTAACGAAGTTTTTCTCCTAATTGGGAACCAAAGTCTATCTTTCTTTGGAAATTTATTGGAGTGGCCGTTACTCCAAAGTTTTTGGTGGGTAAGCTGAAAAAAGCCTAAATTTGTTGTTTCTCTCCAGTTTCTATATTCCTCCTGGGATTAACTTTTCAAAACATAGCCCAAACAGATGAGAAAAGAGAATTCAAGATTCATGGTTATGGATCACCAAAACAAGTTAAAAGTTAAAGAATGGGCAAAATCATTAAACCAAGTTGACTCTGTTAATTACTACTTGTCATGGGCATTTCTCGAATTAGGTAATCATTAAATGTCATCTGGCAAGCAGTAGTTGACTCACGTGCCGTCCGGGTAAAGCTGCCCCCCAACTTAACATGGATCTAGGTTTAACTTTCTGTATGTATGTCCATTAACAAACACCGATCCAGAAATCTTCACACTTCACAGACCAACCATGCACACACAATCCTCCTTCCTAATGTTCTTAATTTAATGAATATTGTTTGCCTTCTTCATGTGCAAAAAGAATTCAACAAAAATACAAAACTAAAAATTTCTACACACGTGATATACTGTTATTAACAGAAATGTACTTAAAGGAAATGAGGGAAGTATTTTCCTAATATAATTTACCCTATATGCGTGATGCCTACTAAATTTTTCTGAAATGTACACGTGTTCAGCACGTGATGACATTTATTTATCTAATGTTTCTTTCTTTAATTCAGTTTTCGACATTTAGGTAGATACTAGAAAGCCTCATCTAATAAAAGAAAGATTGTCTGAATAGATGCTTGATTTGATTCTCCTATAAAATTCTGGTAAGCTTCAGTTTCTCTAATGAACTTTGCACTCACTTTGGATGACAGTTTGTAACAATGGCCACTGGACAACTAGATTCAAAATATAACCTCATAGAGCATTTCGATTAGAATTGTATCGAAAGGTTTAGCTTAGCTCAGCTGAGGCCAGCCTGAGCTCATAGAAACTGAGTTTAAAAAATTGAAGCTTTCAACACCAGAGATTCTTCGAAAAAACGCAGCTGGCATTGTAAGGTCAGCCCACCAAAAAAATAAAACAAAACAACAGGGTGGGCTCAAGTCACTATAGCCCAACCTGTTCTACATCCACAATATCTACTATTTTAAGACAGCTATAGAATTTACCTAATTTCTGATGCCAACTCCCAGCGTCTTTACATCCTCCTACTTATGCAGTTATGCTTCCCATGATGAAAATGATGTGATGGGTACTGTCCACGAACCTAATTTGGATTCTGTGAGGCTTAATCTTGGGTTGTTGAGCAATCTGAATCTATATGCATTGATGTTGTGCAATTATCCTGAATATTGAAAATTTTACGTTAGGGAAGCTGAACAAGTCAATCAAACTAGTTTGAGCTGTTTGCTAATGCATCAAAATAATTAATTCTAAATTTTACTAAATCATCGCGTGTATCGTTGAGAAAAAAGATTTCAGCCTGACTTCATTAAAGCAGCTAATGCGACACAAGGTGACAATACCTCATACCTTTCTATCATTTACTGAGGCATTTGGAAGAGTAGCTCCTGATTGAGGTTTTGAGGAAGCTGACTGTGGGGAAGAACAGTTAAACTGCCAGTGCATTGTTGAATAAGGAAAAGAACACTTGCATTAGTATATAGAATAACCAAGTAGAGTGTTTCTCAATTTACAACCTGTAAAATTCACTTGCCTCTGACACACAGGAGTCAAAGTTATTGTTCTCTTGTAAGTCGTTGCCAGCTGACTTGTACTTTTGAGAAATAGGTGAACAAGAAAAACTTGTATTTCCTCCAACGCCTGTCCCATAAGCCTTTTCTTGCGACTTTTCTGCATTGTTGTTGACTGCATCTTCAATCCTGAAAGGACAATAACAATGTTCCTCAAAATATAACAGCGAGACCTAGCAAAAGCAAAACGACTACCTATGTTGCATTATGGTATTTGTTTATTATCTCCAATAAGAACTTATTTCTCCAATCACAGAACAGTTTATACAATTTCCTGTTTTCTAAAGAAAGCATGACAAGCAAGATGCAAGCATGCCTGCTGGGAGATTTAACAGGAATGCCAATATTGCATTCCAATATATTGATTTGTATAGGACAACTGAACAATACCTTTGATTTACAATCACCTAATTAACGCAGTTGACTATATAGATGTAAAATGGGGAGAAAAAGATGTCTTTCTACTGTTATCACATTACAGCTCATATTGAAAGAGGTTGGTAAGTTTAAATCTGGAAATGGCTATACAACTCATGAATGGATGATAACAATATTAGTTCTACCTATTATCTTCCTTCGTCAAAATCATATTGCATCCTCCTTGGCGTTCCAGCATTGAGGAAATTACCCCTTTATCCTGGCATATAAATTACAGACATTTCCCACAAAGGAAGCAATGAGTTTCTTCGGTAGAGATCCATCTAGAAAATACTGAGGGAAGGTTCTAGATGCATTACAACAGAGAAAAACAAAAAAATTAAGTCGCACCAAATATCACATATAACATTGATTCATTAGAATTACCAATTAGAAATGTGGGATTCAATAAAATTGCTTCAGGACAATTATTCTCAAGAAAACAACTTTGTATATAAATTAGTCAGGTGACAGAATGGCAGGTCATACTTAATCTCTAGACAAGGCAATGGTAGATGTCTTAAGTCCATATATAGGTACCATTAATACAGTATCTGTCTATAATTAAAATTGATTATGGTCCCGGGTGGAAAGTTTTGAAGCAGAAACTCATATGTTTAAATCAAACTCAAACGTTCTCTACCTCTTCATTCATACTTCTAACAGTGTCTTGAATCTTCCTTAAGATGATCCCCAAACTCCCAACTTCAAAATGCAATGCCTGATCATGGAATATTTCAAGTAGAGTTTAGAATTCAACAGTAGAAGTCATTAAGATCTAAGCTGAAAATAAATAATGAAAAAATCTGAAATTTAAACCTGTTTTTCTGACATCAAATTCTGTATGACAACATCCTTTGATGATATAATTTTCTGAAGGTAAGGGTAAATTAAGACAAGGCGTTGATGATAAATATTAAGCTAAAAGAGTAGGTTATAGTTTAGGAATCAATCAAACAAACGAATCTTAAATGCTGGTGTGGATATCTCTTCTATTTGTGTCTGGCTGTTATTGCAAATTTTTGCTGCCTCCATCTGTGCTTCTAGTTCTGAGATGACTCTATCCTTTCTCCGAGTCTCACCTTCATAATTATTCAGTTTGCTTTCGAGGTCACAGATCCTTTCTGCATAACATAGTTCATGTCCAATAAATTATTGATGGTATCAAGTATTACATCCAACAACTTCTGTTTGAACAATAGAATAACTTAATTTGCAACATCCATAGTTGATATACAATGGTACAGACTGGTTGAATTCTGGCATAACAGTTACACCAAAAAATTTATTATTATTATTTGGACAGCCCCCAGTTAAGTTAATTCCTTGGACATGACCCGCAAGTTTCACTACCTAGCCCAAATAATCAACAAGGTTTGTACTTAGATAACTATAAGTTAGATGCAGGTGAATAAGAACTTGGAGTTACCTATAAATACTTTCTCAAATGTGGAAACAGTATCCAATTTGCTCTTTAAGCCAGCTACTGTTAACAAAGCAGCAAGTTAGAAGGAATCTGAAACTGCAGCTTCAAATTCAATATAAGCGTGCATTAAGAATTCAAACAGCTGCTTGCCTACTTCCTCTTTTTCACTCACGATACGTTGCACGTTATCCACAACTTTCTTTACAGACGTTGCCTCCTTTTCTATTGAATCAAATAGCAATAGATGATATTTAATCTTCTCAGATAGGACAGAAAGCTTTCTATCTCTGCACTGAATTGAGCGTTTCATTTCACAAGTGGATTCCTGTACACGAATATGATGCCAGTGAGTAATTTTTCGGTTAAATATGTAGGATTAAATATTCACCATGGAATTAAAAATCATTAACAATATTGCATGGTAATCTCTCTCCACACAACATAAATATACACACAGACAGGCTCTACTAATTGGCACACAAACACGAACCTCATAAGCATTAACGAATGTGTCCCTCGACTGGAGTAGGCTTTGTATCGTTCCTTTCAACTCTTTTTGCTTGTTCTCGAGCATAGAATTGTCATTCTGAAGGTACCTTACCTGAAAGAACAAGCATTCACAAAAACAATTGGAGAAAAGGATTAAAAAAAGAGGGGGGAACAGCTCAATTAAAATCACATTGACTATGATCTCTAACAAGCATTTTGACAAACACTTCAGCAGCAAACATTTTTACTAGATTTGACGAACCTCTCTTTCGAGTTTTTGGCGCAGCTCATTCGAAGAAGCTAATTCAGCCTGCGATTCCTGTAATCTCCTCCCATATTCTTCCTCGGTTTGCTTTTGTTTCTGTTTTCAAACACTTCATTAATACGAAGAAGTAACATGCTATTTGAAAGAAAAAGTTTAAGTTGATTTTCAAATTTTACCTGAATAAGAAGACGAAGTTGCTCGGTGGCAGAGCGTTCCTTTTCCTGGAAATGTGTATTCACCAAAAAACCGATCAGAGAGAGATAGAGAGAGAGTGGTGTTGAAGACGATGATAATTCTTACTCTGAGTTCTCGGACTTCGGTGATGAGCGTTCGAAGCTGGAGCTTGAATTTGGATAATTTAAGCAACTCCATTTTCTCACCAAAATGTTCCATATCTACCTGTGTAAATTGTAATTGTTTGTGCACTGCATGCCACTTTTTAGTTTTGAGGGATTTAATTTTCGGTCTCTGCCTTTGCCCGATTGAAATTTTCATCGAATGCCCCCGCTAATTCGCATTACACTTTCCCGCCACTGAAATACGGAGTTATGCTAATTTTTTATTTTACAAAATTGATATTCCGGGGAAATTTAATTAAATGAGCCCGGATTTAGTAACAACTACTTTTAATTATTTAATCATTTGAGATATAAGCTCTTTCGGATTGTTACAATATTTTTTATATCTCTGTTTGTTTTTGGTTGGAATTTTGTTTTTTCTTCTTTAAGAAACCTTTTTTTATTGTTGGAGGATTTATTAAACCATTATGTCATTTACAAAATAATAATTTTGGGGCCCTTTTTAATTATGTATGATTCATGCTTACGCGTGACATTTCGTGTTTGAAGCTCCATATGTGGCCTACCAACTGGTAACATACAGATAACCGGTTGTTGATTTTACTTGATACTTCAATGTCGGGTAGCCTTCAATAACATCAATAATTATGACATTTTCCCTTTTGAGATGCTTGGCTCATTGGCTACGTGCTGAAATTTCATGGTATCATAAAATTATTAGGTCTCTTGTGTTTTTTTTAAATCTTTTTAATGCTGGGTTAGGAATTCGAACTTAAGATATTAGGAAAAAATATGTATCACCACTAAACCAACTAGGGTTGGTTTTCGATGGCATGTTAAGCCAATTTCTCTTACCGCTGACCGATGGATCGTTTTGCAGTGTGCAGGCAGCTAAGCTAACTCCATACAGGATGTACTGGACACTGACAGTTGTGTTGAAAATATGGGTGCCCAAATGGGTCACAAAGATGATGAAACCATCGCGAGAAGAATTCAAAAGCTTATCACATATGTTCCCCACCTGCTTGTCCAGTTAGGCTGTCTGGCATTGCTCTTTCTCTTTGCTTTTATCTTCCAAATAAGCAGGATTTACAGCTTTTCATTCAAAAATAGTTATAATAATTGATGAGAATCTAGATGCATGTTTTTGAGTGATGGATAAAGCATGCCAATTGGATCAAGAACCCTTGAATTATTAGTTTACGAGGGTCCATATGAGAGATAGTGAGAGAAGGGGGCGTGGACAATGTGTTCCAGGAAGCCAGGTGTACCTGGCCCACTCAACTTTTCATTGGGCTTCATTTATATGGTCAAAATCAAGACCCCATTTTCTTTTTATCTGGTAAAAGTCCAACATATTATTGTTGTGCAGCTAAGCACGCGCTGTTTACCAGTTTGCAATTCTGCATATGTATGGACGTTCCCTTTTATTTTTCCCCCTCTTCCGTGGATTATTGGAGATGATATTTGAATAAAAAATTTCGAATGGAGAGATAAATGCTTTTAACTAATTGAGTTATAAACTTCTTGTAATATCGACATTTGTAATTTATGATCACTCAAAATAAAAGACTTGAGAATATTGTTTTATGGTAAGTAAAATAAGGGGATATATATATATATGTCACAACAGTGGCAGAGCCACTCCCAGGCTTGGAGTGGCCCTAGCCCCTCCAGATATTTATCTCTCATCTATTATATTATAAATAACATATAGAATTTGTAATAAACAACTTATAATTTAAGTTAAAATTTACTCTAAAACAAATTAGACATGACTCAATTAGAAATATTTAGCTCTAAACATGTCATTATTGAATATTTAAGTGTTTTATATACTTGTATTTTCTACTTCGGCCCCCCCAACTTTACAATTCTAGCTCCGCCCCTGTGTCACAACTACTTAACTCAGCATTGAATCAACTAAACCACTTATCAACCACTATTAAAGTATTAAGTAGGGACCGACCCATCTCATCTAGCATATCACATTACATTGAAAAGACAATATTTATGTATAATCCATAAACTACTCTGACATCTACAGTGATCAAACACTTAATCATTGAGGCTGGCTCTGCTCACAGTGATCTAAATATTTTGCATGCATATGTGGGATTCATAGTAATTTTATGATGTATGGACAATTGCCTGTGCATGAATGACCGTTTTCTCACATATATGGATGATTTTATGATGTTTTCTCACAAAGACTCTCAACTATCCAAGTCCATATATGTTCATGAACGACTGTTATATCCAAGTCCATATATGTTCATAAATGTCTTTAATCAATTGAGTTATAAACTTCTTATAATATCGACGTTTGTAATTTATGATACCACAACGCAATCTGTCATATTCACGTGTCTTAAACGACAGTGATAACGCATATGCATAATTTTAACATAAGAGATATTGAGAAAAATGATTTGAACACATTAGAATTACTACTCTTAACTATTTAACTTATAAGTCTTTTACAATCAAATATATCATCATCATCTTATACGATATCAAGCTTTTCCCTTGCTTTGCTGGTATCCATATCTATCGGATATCAATCCCAAAGACGACAAAGCAGAGACCAGTATCACAATCAGCACACGTGACAAAATAGATTAACTGCACGTGTTGAATTTGTGCAAGTGTTTATCTAGAGAAAGAGCAACATATCCTTTCCTGCGACTACGTATGCCTATCCAAAATTGGTATTAGAAAGGGGCAAGGGTTTGGCATATTTGTCATATCCATCCATCACTCTTCATTTTTGACAAATGAGAATTGCATATACCAAACTAGGTCACCGTCAGGCCAATGCCAGAGCCTTTGCATTTTAATTTTTGCAGTACTGAACCACATATGCTAGCTGTTAAAAATAAGTGAATTAATAATAACACGTAGCATTCAGTTACACCGAAGAATTTCTCAAATTTAGTCATTGGAAGGGAAGTACTGCTGACAAGTGGTCCTGCGCACTTGTGCAACAGACAAGGAACTTACCAAGCTGTAGAGAAATGCGCATGAAATGAGAATCTTATTTTACCCAAAAGGCAATGCCCAATATTTCATGCATACATCCTTATTTGCACGTGGAGTTTACTGAAATGGAGTTTGGTGAGTGCCAAAATCGCTGTGACGGATTCTTTTTCCTATAAGCTTTCGAAGGGTAATGATTCTTTGTGAAAGTTGCTTCGGAATAGAAGTTCAAATGCAATGAGATGAACAGAACAGCAATGAATGAAAAATATTGAGGCTTCCTAATTTCCTCCAACTTAAGTAACTACAATTTAATGTGATTAGTTGGTTTGGGATTGGGACATCTGATTTCAGAAAAATAAAAGAGCAACATTTCCCTTTTGGGTAACAGCGATCATGATAGGTAGGGGTGGGCCACGCTTCCAAAAATGGTCCCATCCATCCCCTAACACACATCAAATCTAAAACCATGCTTAGTCAAATCTTAAATATTAATTAGACCCATAACACACATCATAATCATAACAATGATTAAATTATTGCGAACCCACTAACCCACCTTTTAGGAAATCATAAGCTACCTTAATCAAACCTACACAAAAGCCCAATTTAATCTGACTCAGATAACCAAAATATCGTGACCCGAGATTCGGGTCACGAGAAGAGAGTACTTTGAATTTGTACTTTGAGAAAACGTGAGCTCGACCCATCTTCATTCATAAACAAAAAAAAAACAAAAAAAAAAAAAAAAAAAAAAAAAAAGTATCGTCCCCCCCGTCAATGCGGTTGACTGGACTTGTATTTAGATCCGACGGTGTAGAAGCGAGGCAGAGGTTTTACATAAAGAGTGGAAGAAGAGTGAGAGAGAAGGCAGGGAGAGGGCATGAAAAGAAAGGGACAGTGAAACGCTGGAGGCTCCGAGAAAACCTCTCACTGGAAGTGACTTGGTTTCGCAACTCCCGAGGTCGCTGTCTATGAAAATAGCGTGTGTTGTGAAAATTGAAGGAAAGAGAAAGAAAGAGAAAACTAAAGGGAAAACTCACCAGTACGCAGTAGGCACAGTGCGCACCAACCTCCACTGTCCAAGGAGATCACGCAGAGCTTCTCTCTCTTCCTAGTCCCTCTCTCTCTACCTCTCGCTATCCATTTCTAGCTTAAATGCTCTCACTTTCTCTCATCTTCTTTTCCGAAGCTACTACTTATTAAAAAACGCTCTCTTTCCCCTTCGCGGCTAAGATTTAACTTAATATTTGAATCCGGCGAATGCAAACATTTATTCGAACTCCAATTCAAATCTAAACCTGAACTTGAATCGGATCGGAGTGTGAAAATGGATCCGCCTACGCTCGTCAACGAGTGCTCCTTCTCGAATGCCAATGCGACGTCGTTTAATCTCTCGGAGATCTGGCAGTTCCCGATGAGCGGTGGCGGCGTGAGCGGTGGGGATTCTGGAGGAGGAGGTACGCTGGGGCTGCGGAGGCCGAACTTCGCTCAGAGTTTCGCGCAGTTTGGGGACGTTTCGGGTGCGATTCGGGACGTCTTGGCAGGTAGTGATCCGAATCCGATGAGCTTGGACGTCAGAGGCTGCCACGGTGGCGGTGCCGCGAGGAAAAGGCTCGATGCAGAGGACGAGTCCCCCAAAAGCAGTGGCCATATTGGCGGGGTACGTCCATCATTCAATATAATTCAATTGCTTAAACTCTGTTTAGCTTGCTGCTAATTATGATTCGGTTACTATTATTTGTGTTCGTTGATTTGTATTAACTTGAAGTATAAATGTGCTATTTACTGTTTGCTACGTAAACTTCTTGAAAATTTCTAAATCTATATATTTGTGATTGGAGCAAGGCTGTTTCTTTAATTGAACTATTTCTTAATTATATATGTATATGTTTTGTTCCTTTTTCTTTTTTTTTTCTTCTGGCAGAGTGATTGCGATGGGAAAAGGCTTAAAACAGCAGCAAGAAGTAGAGATGAGACCCGTGAGTCGAGAGCCGAAGCAGAAACCAGTTCAGGGAAGCCGGTGGAACAAAGTACTCAGCCCCCTGATCCACCTAAGCAGGACTATATCCATGTGCGAGCTAGGAGGGGTCAAGCCACTGATAGCCACAGCCTTGCAGAAAGAGTAATTTACTTCAATTCTCTTAAACAAGCTGTGATGTTTTTAATTTAATTTGTTTTTTATAAGTGATAATCATAATGCAGATGTTTTGAATTTTAAGCAATGGACATTGTATCTGCTATGTTGAGCTATTAAATGAGAGATACTGATTGGAACTTTGTGGTTGACAGGCCAGAAGAGAAAAGATAAGTGAGAGGATGAAAATTCTCCAAGATCTGGTCCCTGGTTGTAATAAGGTATGGTATGGCCGTCCTTAAAATAAATTTCATCTACTAGTCAACACCTAATTGCATGAAAATGTGTTAGAAATAGTTGGCAATAAATTTTTCTTATTTTTTGTTTTAATTTATAATTTTTTCTCTTAGTCTGCAACCCAGTTAGACATCAGAACTAAACATGCTGCATCGATCGTTTTGTGTTTAGTTTCAGCCTTTGCTTAACATGGTATAAAACTGCTGATTAACGCAAGTTATCTAATTCAGGTTATTGGGAAAGCCTTGGTCCTTGATGAGATAATTAATTACATCCAATCGCTACAGCGTCAGGTGGAGGTATGAATATTTTTCCAATTCATTACCGTCCATCATTTTTACTATGAATTTTTCCCACATGTAATCTTACAATCGAGCCTTATCGATATACGGGGATGTTGCAGTTCCTGTCAATGAAGCTTGAAACAGTCAATACAAGAATGAACCCCGGAATTGAGGTGTTTCCTTCTAAAGATGTAAGTCCGTACATTCCGTATCCTTGTTAGAGCTTGGAATTGCCCTGTCCTCACGTTTTATCTTTTGGAATGCATCATAATGGGTAGTGCCATTTTCTTTGCTAGTTGCAACTTTGTCCCATATGCCATTGTATTATTGCGCATATCATGGTTGAAACTCTTTTCCAGATAGTGCAAGTCATCAATCTAAACATGCACATGTCATCAATTTTCTATGTTTAGTCTTCTGTGGAAATTGGTAAAGTAAAACCAAAGCAAGATGACAACCAAAGTTCCCCGAGTACCTCTTTACTGTATGTGAGATTCTCCATCTATGTTGTTATCCATCGTTGTCCATTTTAATGAGGGGAACCCCATATTTATATGTTTTGATAAGGTCTGTCAACATTGTTGGACCACAGTTCCATTCTCTTCATATAAATTTGTTCAAAATAATGCATCCCTCCTTTCCTCTCCGTGTGTCGATCAATATAGGAAGTTATAATTCTAACATGTGTGGATAGACAACGGTGTCCAGTTGGAGTCTTAGTTATAGGTAAAGTTTATGTTAGGTCAAGCAAAAAAATATGTGGGAGGTGAGTCATTCCTCTATTTTATGAACTATCATTCTAGTAACAGATCAATTTATTGTTGCAGTTCGGTCAACAAACATTCGATACCGCTGCAATGGCATTTGGTACGCAACCTCCGAGGGAGTATAGTCGGGGGTCTTCACCAGAGTGGTTGCACATGCAGGTTGGTGGTGGTTTTGAAAGAACATAGCCTAGAACATCCTCTTCGACCAGGAATAAAAGCATCAAGGCAAATGCTTCCTCAACCTTCATTATCTGTTAAAACACGTATAGCGCATTATGTTAAATCAAGGAAGATCTCCTTCTCATATCCTACATCAGAGCATGGAGTTGTGGTTTTGGCTGTCTACAGAAAGGCTGCTCAAACTTAGTTAAAGTTACTAAACATCGTCTCTCCATTTGTCTGTGTGTTGGAAAATTGAACTTTTGAACTTGATATATCCTCTATAGCAGGCTACACGTTCTTCCCCTTATAAATATCCAAACATAACCTCCGGAAAATGAGTAGCCTTCTTGCAAAAAGAATGCTGCTTGTTCTATATTTCAGATGCTCACCTCTTGTGTAAACTCTGTTTTAACATTGATTTATTATTAAGCTGAAACTACCTTAAATAAGTGAAAATGACGCCTTTGCTTTCTGCAAATCCATATCGACTTTGGTCTCATCTCATCCCTGGATGCGGGCCTTTGTGGAGCTTCCCAAATGTTTATAAGCAATAATTTTGTTTTTCCTTTTTTAAAACAAGAACAACGTTACAACAAAAGATCCACATGGGACTATTTAACTGAAGACTGAAGACTATTTAAAGCCCCCCCGTTTGAAATCATTTCAATTTTAGTTTTTAGTTTTCACTTTTTGTGCTAGAGTATAGAGGAAAAAGAGGGAGAATAAAAGTGAGAATGAAAGTGGAGTTGGGATTAAGAGGGAAGATGAGAGAGAATGATGTGAGGGAGGAGTAACAAAATTGAAAATTGAAATATATTTGAAATTATTTTCACTTTCAAGTTTTTGTTTTCACTTTTGTTACTCCTCTCTTCTCATCATCTTCTCAAATCTCATCCTCACACCCATTTTCACTCTCATTTTTTTCTATACTCTAGCACAAAAAATGAAGGGGAATGCTAGCAACCTTCTTTTTTGAACCTTCTCTTTTGCCCTCATGACATGTGTCATTTCTTTACACTTAAAACAATGTCATTTAAACATCAAACAACCTAACTTTTGTTTTCCATATTTAGCATTATTTGATGTATTGACTTTACTTTAATTTATTAATCTTTTTTCACAGCTTTCTAAATACTTTGTAAAAAATTATTATATTAATTTATTAAATATTAAAAAAAATCAAATTAAAAAACCTATCACAAGTTGTCCCCACCTTCTTCCCCAAAGCCCAGCACCTCCATCTTCCCCACCATCTCCTTAGCGCCACCCATCCCAAACCCACCCTCTCCTCACCACCCCCCCCATACTCTCGCCCTACTCTCACCCTCTTTTTCTCTCTTCCCCCAATCTCTCTTCAAACAAAACCAAGCCCCTGCAAGTTTTGGCTACGGTAAGAACACCTCAAGGCCATGGCAAGCATTGGCCATTATACTAAATTTGGGTTTGAGGACCATCACCAAGCACCAAGCACCACCAACAACAACAACCCAACCCAAATTTAAAAATCTCACCTTACAGTTGCAAATTTTAATATGGGAAATAAACAAATTTATGGATTTTGAAATTTTTTTTTTTTTGGATGGGAGATGTCATGTCGTTACGGGGGTGAAGGTCTAGCTCTCTCAAAATGATGAGAGGGAGGGTTGGATTTGGGGCTGCAAGTATGTGAGTATTTGAAGAGAGAGATAAAGTTGTTAAAAAAAATTGAATGAATTGAACTAAACATACATCAAATAAGGATAAATAAACATACATCAAATAAGGGTAAATATGGAAAACAAAATGTAGGTTGTTTGATGTATTATTGACATTATTTTAAGTGTAAATAAAATGACACATGTTATGAGGGAAATGAAGAAGGTAAAAAAGAGAAGGTTGCTAGCCTTAAATGAAGTAAAAACTAGGCTTATTTACTGTAGTAACCTCTGAAAACGTCGGTCAAATCTCACTTAACCCCCCCAAAGTTAAAATGACCCACTTAATCCCCTTGACTGTGGTTTTGTGTTCTACTTTACCCCCCACCGTTAACGCCATTCAAAAGACCGTAAAAAATGTTGACGTGGCAGGGTCATTATGGTAAAAGCACCAACGGTGCCCAATTGCTGAGCGTACTCAGCATCCTACGTGGCATAGTGGACCCCACATGCGTTGAAAATCCAAATCTAAGCGACTGAGTTCGTAGATTCTGGCAAAAGAAGAACCTTCTCAGTCGAAATAATTTGGGGATTAGGGTTTGGAGTGTATAATCGAAGAGAGAGAGAGAGAGAGAGAGAGAGAGAGAGATTCGAAAATATGAGAAGAAGCGAATATTGCAGAAGAATCAAATAAGAAGAATCGACATATTGGCATTGCGCAAATATAGGAGAGATTGAAAAGGACAATGACGATGCCGAGAGAGAAAGTAGGTTCTCAACCTGAGTACGGTAAGTAACCCTTTGCTTTTGAAATGGAATCAACGAAAGCAAGAGATTTATATAGTGTGGTCCAGGTTTAAGCTTCTTTATTGTCTGCTTGCTTTGTTGGGTTGGGTCCAAAGGTGTTGAGTTTGATTAGCCTAGAATAAAAAAATTGTTGTTGTTCCCTGTGTCTTGCCTTTATGTTTTCTTGTTTACTAGTTGTTTAAAAGTTCTTTTAGTACTTTAAACATGTTAGTTGCAGGTGAATCTTGCTTCATGTCTGTTTACTGGTAGTTTGGTGGTTGTGTTGTCTTTTTTAAACTATACATATGACTAGGCAATGGTTAAAGTGTGTTTTTATTTATTTATTTATTTATTTTTATGTTCTGTTGTGTAGATGACAAAGGAATAGTCACCTTTGAAGTACACCATAGAGGTAGAATGGTAAAATCCTCAAACCTTAATGAGTGGTGGTTTTATGTTGGGGGGTCTATTGATTATTTGGACTGGTGTCTTCTGGACTATATAAATTTGTTAGAGATATACGTGTATGCGAAAGAGCTTGGCTACCATGACCAAGTGGTTGTGACAGAGATACAAAATGGTAAAAAAATGTGTATATATAGTGATGCTTAGCTACTTGATTGGTGTCATTTGGTGCTTCATATCTTTGAAAGAGTGATTGTAATTTACTTGGAACACCCTACTGTTATTAATGTGGATGAATTTGCTGCGGCTTGGAGGGAGAGGGGTCCTATTGCAAGAAACCTAACTGCTGAATTTGAACATGAAGATGAGAGTGATGAACAGTTTGGTTATGAAGGTATGTATGAGGAGGATGAGGATGATGACATTGCTGTGTTAGAAATATGCCCTTAAAGCCAACTAATTATGTAATAGTTATAGTTAAGGACATATTTGATAAAAGACATATTATGTTATCAATGGGCAAGAAAAGTTGTTTTATACATTAAATCATCATATATTATCTTTCAATATGTAGAACAACAATAGTCCAAGGAATACACAAGTGGATATGAGAGCTATGTAATGAGATTGCATACATAGAGACTTCCCATCATTTCTAAATCCTGAATATATTCTTGGTCATAGGAATATTGATTGGGCGTCAATATTCTGAAAAGACCAGTACACACAGTATCGTCTCTATATGTAGGGAATGACAATGTCTTAAGTCATTAAGTGTGGAGGCACATCGATATGTGTGTAAGTGCTTGTAGAAGAATAAGTACACAAAACGCGATCCAACACATGAGTTACAGCATGGAAGTCTTTACTCACATGTCAACCTGGAACTCATAAATTGCAATGGTGCAAACTAATCCTTAGACATGAGGCAACATGGATGTTTTGTGGCTATGTTGTTAACCTTTGAAGGCACTATACGGTCATGCTGAATTAGGCATAGCTTAAAGGTGCTCATTAAGATTCTCAATAGAGTCATTGAAGCAAATGAATGTATAACAAGGAATCTCTACTCTTATTAAAGGAGAGATAATACTACAAGATATGATTGGTCAAATCTCTGCGCAGAATAGTAGATAAGACTTGAAAGAAGAAGTCTTCAAATCTTACCAGGATAATCATATAAAAGGAATTATTCACATTAGGATATTGACAATCGGATTCCATGATCTAATAATGTGAATAAGGAGTATTGACATAAGAGAAAGATTCAATTACACGGTCATTCCAATTTGAATAGGTTCTTTCACAACGTCTCATTTATCTCGGATAACCGTGACTTGTTGCTAGGAGACAACCATGGTTTGTGAATGTCCTAAAAGGTTTCAATTAACCTTTATTAATAGGAAGAATTAAATTTTGGAATTTAATTCGTATATCATCTCAGAGGAGTTGAGTCAACCCATTATCTTGCTAAAGGGAACTTACGGATCTGCACACCCAAAGAATGTGATTAGAGATACAAATGAGGAGAAATGAAATGAGTAGACACAAATCAATGGTTGATAAACAAATGTCAAAGTCAATGGTCAAAAGTCAACATGTTGACCGGAGCAATTGATCAAAGTCAAATAGTTCGACCGGGTCAATTAAGTAAGACTATAATAATAATAATAATAATTTAATAGTTAAATTATAATTAAAAGATTAATTATGAAATTAATATTGACATATATAAATATTGGATTGGGCGTTTAAATATGATTTAAAAGGAAAGGGCCCAAGTGATAAGTGGCATAAGATGACATGACCCATGGACCAAATGGAGCCTTAAGTACCCACCAAATTGTCTTTTGTGTTGTCATATATAAGCTAAGTGTTGGAGAAAACCTAGTTAGGGTTTTTGGTTTCCTATTTTGGTTGATGAGTGATTATCTTTGTATCTCATCTTCTATAAACCAAAAATTGGTCCAATCAAGAAGTAGACTAGCATCCATACTTATTGATTGCCTTCTTTTCATCTCTAGGAGCATTTGGTGTGGTGAGATAGATGACTCCAATCTTGGAGCATTAAGGTGAAGGAGTCAAAATCAAGAGAAACAAAAGGTCTTTCCAATAAAGGTGTTCATTGTTAAGAAATCAAGAAAAGGTCATAAAGGGTAAATATCTATTCCCTTTTTCCTTTTTCTATTTTTGTTGAAAGAGACTACGCTAAGATACTTGGTTTAAAATGAAATTTTTTTAGCTCAACTAGTATAAACAAAATGAATCCACCATTTATAATGTTTTTGTTGTATATGTTGTGGCTAAAGTTCATTTCCTAAGCATTAGATACATGTTTCTTTCATGCTGTTGATGAGGTTATAAATATGGAGGATGGGGGTGATGACATTGTTGTTGATGTGGAGGATGAGGGTGATGAAGGTATTGTTCATGAGGGTATAAATGTGGCTGAGGAGGATGACGAAGGTATTGTTCATGAGGGTATAAATATGGTGATGAAGGTACTGTTCATGAGGGTATAAATGTGGCTGTGTATAGACTTTTTCTTCCGGCAGCTGTAAATGGACTGGGTTGCCGTAAAGAACAGATGGATGAAATTATTCCCTGTGTCTGAGTTCGAATATCAAGCCCCAAAAATGCTTCGAAAGGATATAGATGCCTTAGGAAACACCTTGATTATCTTCACCAACAAAAATAATAACAGCTTACAGATAGATTTTCTAGCTTGGCATGAGAGGCTTGTGGCATGGGAGCAAAATTGACATGAGTTTAGCACTAAAGAGAAAGTTATGCGTTCTTGGGGGAAAACTGGGGTGTTAAGGTAAGAGAAGAAGGGTTTGCAGGAAGGTTTGGCTGAGAATGAGGGAAAGAGAGAGGAATGAGTGGCTTGGGTGTTTTTCTGGTAGCTTGACATAGTCTCTGTCAAGTGTTAGAACAGTCTGCCAGAAGAGGAAAAATATGGGAAAAGGATAAATAGAGCACGAATTTGCTGGGTTTTGTAGGTGAGAAAGGAAGATTGCTCTCTGGATGTGGTTGTTTTAGCTAGTGATGAAGTAGTGGGTGTGCTGGGTAGTTTCCGGCTGCTCGACGAAAACTTTGTCAAACTTTGGAAAAGTTTACCAAAAGGGAAAATGGGGATAGATGAAAGGATGTGGCTGGAAATTGCAGAGTTTCAGAGATAAGAGATGAAGCTTGCTGTCTAGATGTAGGTTGTGATGATGGGTAGGAAATGCCTTTTTTTTATAGGCATTGGAAGCTACTCTTTTCTAAGAAACCCTAATGATTTCTATCCAATTTGGCCAAGGTTTTTCCTTCATTTCTCCTCCATTCCTTTGACTTATCATATTTGGTGAAATTCTCTCTGCCAATTTGCACAAAATCAGGGATTTTTGAGAGCTCAATGATCTTTCCACAACTGCCTCAATGGAGAACTCCCATTTTCAGCCATCTTTCTTCCTTCTTTTCTCCCCTATTTTATAGCTAGATCTGATGGGGGAAAGAAATGGGTATGTACACTGGTTTGAAAGGTGTTTTGCTCAAATATCCATTGGTTTTTCTGATGGCTTACGTTGGAATTCATTCTCCTCATGTGTTGGAGCCTTCTAGCAGTTTGCACACATGGATATTTTGGCTTTCATCGTGGCTTTTGTTTTCAGCTAGGTGCTGGAGATTTGCATATATTTTCTTGGGTTGCTTGGGCCTTCTAGGACAATAAGTTGGTTTATCAAGTAAATGAGCTAACCTTATCAAGTGTTGGTCTATTTTGGTTTAGTTAATGGGCTATTTTCTCTTTTGTGCTCACCCACATGTTTGGGCCTAAGAAATGGGCTTGAGTTTTGAGGCTCCCAAGCAACCCGAGACTTCAATTTCTTGACCCATTAATGGGCCTCATGTCAATTTATTACCATCCATACCACAACCCACTCAAGTAAGCCACGTGCATCTTGCGTGACTTGGGCCCACTTAAGCTTGTAGCATGGCGTGTTGCTTATTTGCTTGGCGTGACATGTGTGCAAGCGCATATGACGAACTTTCGCGTGCCCAAATCGGGTTTTTTCTCGATAAGGTATCGCATTGAGTCAAGAATATATTTGGGCCTAACCTTAGATTTTTTTGGGCTTCAACAGGATGTAAGTAATGTTAATAGCTTGGATAGTAGCTCATGTGAGGAGATTGATATGCCTATGAGAAAAAGGAAGAGGAAATTGCCCAAGTTTAATGGTTTAAGCCTGACACAGATTTGAGTAACCCAATCTTTAAGCTTGATCTAAGATTTCCCAGTGTCTATGAATTTAGGAAAGCAGTGATAAATTATTCAGTATTCAGTAGAAAGAATATTAAGTTCTCCAAGAATAATAAAGATAAGATTATAGCAGTTTGTGATGGGATCAAAAATGGAAAATATCCATGGTTTGTTTTATGCTTCAGTTGTAAATGGAAGTAGCATGGTTCAAATTAAGAGTTATGAAGAGGAGCACACTTATGGGATCGTTGAACGCAATGTCCATGCTAACTCATCATGGTTAACAAAGAGATATGCTACATAGCTATCTAGAATAATAAATTGGGATGTAGGAGCTTTTAAGGAAAGGGTTAAGGGTGAATGAAGGTCTATGTGTCATATCTTCAAGATCACAAATATACAGAGCAAGGCAAAAGGCAATTGCTGTAAGTGAAGGGACTTACACAAAATATTTTGAGTCTCTTTGGGATTATGTTGAGGAGCTAAAAAGGACAAATGTGGGAATTACTGTAAAGATTAAGTTCAATTTGGAGGGTGACAAATCTAGATTTGAAAGGATTTATATATGTTTGGCAGCTACAAAGAAATGATTTATTGATGCTTTGAGGCTAGTTGTCGGTTTGGATGCTTGTCACATCAAAGAGCAACACCTTGGGCAATTACTCTCTACTGTTGGTGTTGATCCTAATAACAACATGTATCCAATAGCTTATGCAGTGACAGAGGCTGAGAATTATGCAATTTGGAGTTGGTTTTTGGAACTCTTTGCTGTTTATCTTGGCATTGAAAATAGCAATGGGTATGTGTTCATTACAGATAGACAAAAGGGATTAATTGATGCAGTGGGTGACATGTTCCCAAACTATGAGCATAGGCATTGCTTTAAACATCTGCATGCGAATTTTATACTTGCTGGCCATAGAGAATTAGTTCTGAAACAACATATGTAGGTTGCTGCAAGAAGTACAACTATACCTTGGTTTCAAGTAAAGATGAAAAAGCTCCAAGATTTGTCAAGACCAGTTTTTGATTGATTGGCAAGGCTTGATCCAATGCAGTGGTGTAGATCTCACTTTAGAACACACTCAAAGTGTGACATTATCTTGAATAACATGTGTGAGACATTCAACAGGTCTATCCTTGATGCTAGAGACAAGCCTATTATAACAATGCTTGAGAGGATTAGGTATTACATCATGTTGTTGATGGCAAGTAAAAGTGAAACTATGGAGAAATGGGCTCATGATGTGGGCTAAGAGTTTTTGCAACTCTTGAGAAGCTTAAGAAGCAGTCAGCCTAGTGCATTCCAAGACTTTCCGGGGAGAGCAAATATGAGGTTAAGTGTTTTGAAGGCACTCAGGTGGTTGTTGATTTGAGAAACAGAAGTTGTTTATGTAGGCAATGGGATCTAAGATCCCATGTAAGCATGCTTGTGATGTTATTGGGTAGTTAAATGGCAATCACATCAGCTATGTACATGATTATTACAAAAAAGAGGCCTTCATGAAAGATTACAAACTCATGGTTCATCTAATGGCAAGCCAACATTTGTGAGCTAAAATAAATTTCCCACCTTTGCTGCCACCTAAGTATCATAAGCAACCAGGGAGGCCAAAGAAAATCAGGGTAAGCTCAGCTGCTGAACCATCTCCAAGCTCTAATCCTAAAGCTAAATACTTGCCAATGTATAATTTGGAAACCAAGTGTTCCATATGTAATCAATCTGGTCATAATAAGAGGAAATGTCCAAGGTAAATGAAGCAGGGAATAGCAACCAGGTATATTCAAAGCATTTGATTTTAAAATTTTTGTATGTTTGGCATTCTTATATGGATTCATATGTGATGTTTGTTGGCCAGGTACCATCACAAAGGCAAAAGAAGACATCCTCTCAAGGCAACACATCAACTCAGAGAATTACAAGACAATCAAGACAGAAACAAGCATCATCTTCTACACAATCAAGGCAAAAACAACTAGTAAGTTGAGTTTCTTTTATTTAAGTAACATTATGAAACTCTTCATTTGTAGATATTGATCCAAAAGCAGTCATGTTAATCTAACTCTTCCACAATTTTCAGATCATATCAAAGGCTAAAAAAAGGATCAATCATCACCAAGCATCTTTTCAGTCTAACTAAGCTCCTCAACCTTCTCACCAACCAGCTCAACCATCTCAAGAATCTCAGTTTCAACAAGCCTTGCAAGCATCTCAGTTTGAACAAGCCTATCAAGCTTCTCAGTTTGAGCAAGCATCTCAAGCTTCTGTGTTTGAATAAGCCTCCCAGTCTCAAGAATCAAATTCATTTCAGCCTTTAAAAGCTTCCTCACAAAGGAAAGTTAAGGTTTAAGTATCTAGCTAAGAGAAAAGCATTATTGGCAAAGTTTCAGCCATAGAGATATTGAAAATCTCTGCTCTATTTTTATGTTTTTTGTGTCTTGATGAACACATATGTTTTTTAGTAGAAATTGTATGTTTGGTATTTTATTGTCTACTTTGTTTTTGGGTACAAACTATTTGGCATTCCCATGGATATCACAGGTTCATATTCAGTCTTTTGTATTTTGTTTTGGCATTGCCATGGATTAAACATGTGCTTACAAAGTTTTTCTTTTGAGTTATGTACAAGACTATGTACAATTTATGTACAAATTATTAATCAATGGATGTTCAAAAACTCTGAAAGGTTTCTAGAATTCTTGGTGCTTACAGAAGTGCTTAGTCTTAACCATTACAAAAGGGCTTTGAAACCATTACATTTTCAAAATGCTACAGCCATTACATAAGCCTCTCATCTCACTACATTACCATTCAACTAGGTACATTACACCACATTACCTAACTTTCAACATACTACATTGCCTAACTTTCAAACATACCAATTGTCTAACTTACAGTACATAACATTGCTAAACCAAACCATAAACACAAAGGCTCAAGAAATAAACAGAGCAATCCATAACTTCTTCTCTCTTGCTCTCGCATGCCCAATCTGATCTTCAACTTCTCTCTTTGTCCTCAGCAGCCAAGCCATTAGAGCTCTCTCACGGGGAGGCATTTCAATATCAACCTATACAAAAAACCTACAACTGTTTTCCCCCTCTACATTCAAACAACAATTCCATCACATTCTCACAATTTATTTTCCAAATTTCGATAAAATAGCAAATCCAAAACCTACCTCTGACTTTGGACACACAAAGAACCTCCGAAGTGGGTTGGACTCTGTCTAAGAAGTCTGCAGCCGAGCAAACCTCCTACAGTAGCAATGAGGTGTAGCAACGGCTAGCTCTTCTCCTCTTGGAGGTTCTTTCCTCATCTTCACACCCTTTAATCGAAGAAAGATGGAGAAATTTTTTTCTAGGGAACCTTAAATCCTTGAAATGGTGGTAAGTAATTTTTCTGGGTTTAGAAACCCTTTTATCAAAAAAGAAGAGAGAGAATTGTTACTGGGTCTGCTTCACCCTTTCAGTCGCTTAGATTTGGATTTTCAACGCCAGTGGGGTCCAATATGCCACATAGGATGCTAAATATGCTCAACAATTGGCCACTATGGGTGCTTTTACCATAATGACCTTGCCACGTCAACATTTTTTATGGTATTTTGAATGGCGTTAATGGTGGAGGGTAAAGTGGAACATAGAACCACAGTCAATGAGGTTAAGTGAATCATTTTAACTTTGGGGGGTTAAGTGAGATTTGATCGAAGTTTCATGGGGTATTATAATAAATAAGCCTAAAAACTAAAATTGAAATGATTATCAAAAGGGTCCTTATCCAAAAAAGGCATTAAATCTTTAATTATAAAAGGTATTAAAGTTTAAAATGCACCCTATGACGGAAAACTGAGACTTTAATATGTGTTTGTCTTTTTAGTCTCAGCCATTTTTCTTTAGGAAAAACAGAAGTGAAAGAACAAAAATGTCCCCGGCTGCAAAAACCTAACATCACGGGAGTAGTTATAACTTTATAAGGCCGTCAACCGCCCCAAGACCTCCATCATGTCCCTGTCTCCTTTCAAGTCTCTCAACTGACCGTTTCATTATCGTACAGGGTGGGATTTCATAAGTAACGGCAACCACGAAACGACGCCGCACGACTATTTCCTGAACCAGGTCCTCCTTTGCGCATAAGCTATTGACCCTGGAGGCCACGCTCCCACTCGCGCGTGAAATCACAGTCCCATCTCCTTGGCCCTCCCCTCACCATCACCACCGCATCTAGAAAGCCGCCAGATCTCTTACCATACGCGCTGAGAAAATTACTCGGTAAATCGAAAGAGCAAAAGAAACCAAATTCGCGAATCGCTGAAAAAAGAAAAGAAATTTAAAAGAAAAAAAAATGAAGACAGGTTCGAGGGGGCGTTGAAAACGCACGCACTTCCTTTGGCTCATACGGTGTTTAAACCACCACCATTTTACCAGAGAACAAGGGAGAAGACGACGATTGAAGACCGATCGGAGAATATTTGTTGGAAACGACTCGTCGTTGAGTTCGGATCGGGTCGAATATGAGTGGATGGAATCGGCCCTCGAGACCGCGGCTGGGTCGCAATTCGAATTCGCAGCCCGAGCGTACGTCAACGGTTCGACTTGGACGAGTCCAGCCCCAGGCGCCGGGTCACCGCACTATTTTCTGCAATGATCGCGAGGCCAATCTCCCCGTCAGATTCCCGGTTCGTGATCTTTCTTCTTCTTCTTGTTTTTTTTTGGGTGTCTTTAGGTCCAGGTTCTCCGTTACTCATTTTCCTGTTTGGTTGGAAAACACAAATTGAAATATTGGGTTGCTGATTTTTTCCTCACTTGACATACAGGAAAATTGGAACTTCACTGACTTAGTTTGATACGTCCATTTCTTCTTTTTATGGAATTTGGTTTTCACTCATTAGGCTTTTCCTGCAAAACAACAAGAAGGGGTGGGTGGGGGCTTATTTTCATGGGAAAAAAATATTGAATTAGTTGTCGTGGTTAATGATTGATGGTTTGGTATTGAAGATATTTGTTTCAATGTCAGAATGATGTTTATACTAAATGAAGCTTACTCATGGTTTAAGGAATAATGAGCAAGGGTCATGCAAAGCACAATACTATTGTTAGAGTAAATTTAAGCTGCTTCCAGCGTAGCTGTTTTTCTTAATTATTTTTTAAATCTTGCCCTCAACAATAAGGGAATAAAAAAGAAAGCAAGAAAGATTTACAGCGTGTTTCGAATTATCAATGTGGGTAGTTTTCCACTCAGTATTGTCGATTGAGGCTTCACTAGCCTTCTACTTTGTCTGCCAAATTTTTTATTATTGATTGTTCGTGAAGAAAATAGAGTGTTAGTTGCCCACTTTTCTGCTGGATAGAAGCACAAAATATTAGGATTTGGCTTTCTCACGGTTGAGAATGTTTGTAGTCAAGATTTTCTAGCGCAGTGAATGGATTCGGCAATTTGTTTTACCTGTACCGTTTACCACCAATAGGCTGTATGAGCATACTGGAGTTATAATTTATGTCTCCTTATGAACTCACCTATGTCTGTTGGAATTTTGATATCAATTACTTGTTATGATATTCATGAATTGGTCATGTTTGTACTTGTGTTGATGAGATATTGCTTACTCGTCACTTGCATCCGACTCTGCTTTTTTTGTATTCAGTTTTAATTAATATGCGTTCAATATTTCCAGGGGAATTCTATATCAACTACGAAGTACAACTTCTTTACGTTTTTGCCGAAAGGACTCTTTGAACAGGTAATTTATCTATTGGCCTCCAGGCTACTTAGATGGATATGATTATATTGGAATTTAGAAGTTATTATGTGATTTGCTATGGAAATTTCTGACTCGTATTTTTAAGACAACTTCTTATTATGGTTCTTTTGGATATTTGAAACTAGACTAGATGGACTAGAAGAGTCTATAGGAGATACATTCCTTGGGGGATAAAGTTGGAAATCTCAAAATTAAGGGCAATTTTAATGAATTTGATTTTAGGTTTTAGCTTGGATGTTAAACTTTTATCTGTCAAAGATTATTTTCCTGTCCTTATTACTTTCTGTTTATCATAATGTAACTAATGATATGATGCCATAGTTAGTATCTTCTGTGTTTGTGTGAAATTTTTATATCCTGGGGAAAAGAACTTAGATAGGTAACGCTTTAGTAAGGTAGACATCACTTCCCGTGACAAGTGCAATGATTTTTTTCTGTCTTAGGTGTTGTTAAATCAACTTGCTTGCAGATGCATTTTTAAGCTTATCATTTTGGTTTGCAATCAATTGTAGGAACATCAGATTGCTACAGGTTACATATAAGTTAAAGAAATTGACTAAAGTTAGTTAATTGCTGCCAATACCTACGATTTTGTTTTGTCATGGTCCTGATAAATTCTGTGTTTACACTCACAGTTCAGGCGGGTAGCTAATCTCTACTTTCTCACGATCTCAATTTTGTCAACAACGCCAATCAGGTATATTAACTTTAATTGGTTTAGCAGACCTCTTGTTTAGCTTCATTCATGAAGAGTATGTTATTCACTAGAGTGAAAATTTTAGAACTGAATTATCATTTTACTTTTCCAAATTAACCAGAAATGACATTTGTAAAAAACTTAACAAGGTTATGTTCGCAAATTGTTACTCAAACTGCCTGGAGTAGGAGCTTTGAATTCATATTTTCTTAAATTCAGATTCTTTGAATTCATAATCACACTTTTGGAATATTGCTAAACAATTGCTTTGGTGTCACTAAATATGAAGGGTTGACTACAATTGATTTACCCTAATAATTTATAATATTGTTACAATTCTACGCATGGTGTTCTCAACTATTTCTAATATTGCAGTCCTGTCCATCCTGTAACCAATGTGGTCCCTCTGAGTTTGGTGCTTTTCGTTTCTCTTGTTAAGGAAGCATTTGAGGATTGGGTGAGTAACAGTTGCTGCTTATTATATTATGCAGCCTTGATTTTCATTATAACCTCTTTTCTGTGTTTCCAAGGTCTACTCTCTCTCTCTGTGATAGCTGAGCTTTGAAGTTTTATCTGTTAGTTATGCATTTAAGTATGAAAGTGAGGACAAATGCTTAATTATACTTTTTTTCTTATTCTTAATTTATGTAAAACAGAAGCGCTTCCAGAATGATATGACGATAAATAATAATTTGGTTGATGTCTTGCAAGATCAGAAATGGGAAAGTATTCCCTGGAAAAAGTTGCAGGTTGGAGATATTGTCAGGGTGAGTGTACTGCATTCTTATGTTTCCTTTATGAAATGTATTTGATGCATCTTGTGTTGATTTTGTGTTAAGCTGTAATAGGGATAGTGGTTGTCGCCTCTGTCGATGATGATAGTTGCATGTTGTAAAACGTCCCCCACCCGACCCTGGGGTGGACATAAATTTTCCTACCAATTTATTACATAAGCATTTGAGCATCATCTCATGTGTGGGGTTTTTATTCGTTTCTGCTGATTGTTTCTAACAGTTTATCATATTTTTTTATTTACACTTCTATTCTCATCATAGTTTATTATAGAACTTTTCTGGCATGTGAATTATCTGAGCATCTTTTTGGTAAAATTTTTGCTTTGTATTCAGAGTTGACAACTCAATTTCATGGGAGTTTATTTTTCGGTGTCCAATGATGGGTACTATGAACAACTCAAGTCCGTGGGAGTTGAATTTCTTTGTGGGAAAGGGGTGTTTGGGGATAGAAACTACTGTGTGTTGCAGTTGTGCTGAAGCATGGTCATTTTGACCACAATTCTACAGAATAGAGATTGTTGCTATTCGAGAAGCATTGTTGTATTGATGATGTGTCTAAAGATGACCTTGAGATATAGCTGAAATTGCTGGAAGTTCTCTTTAGTTTTAAGTCGTCAATGTGATGATGTGTTTAAACATGGTCTTGTGATGGCAACGTTGGAAGTTCTTGTTAATTGTAACTCTCTCTCTCTCTCTCTCTCTCCTTGCTGTCCAAAGTTTTTGAAACATGGGATTGAGTAATGCTTAATACGGTTACGATGAACATTTTTCTAGCAATCAGCAGATAAATGATGCATATTTCCTTGGATGTTTGCATATATATTTTTTTTAAATGCTTGAAATGTTCTGCTTATGTTTTTGAATGTTGTTTGCACTAAAAAAAGAATGTTATAATCGCTTTACCCAGAAGCTGATATTTTGTATTGGTTTTTAGATTAAGAAGAACGGATTCTTCCCTGCAGATCTACTATTTCTTGCTAGTACAAACCCTGATGGTGTCTGCTACATTGAGGTCTTTGATTCTTTTATCTATTTTAGTTTTTGAACTAAATTGTATTCTTGTTATGATTAATATGTATGGATTTACCCCTTTTTTGTTGAAAAAATTATTTTGCTTTTGGTGGCAGACTGCAAATTTGGATGGGGAAACTAATTTGAAGATAAGAAAAGCATTAGAAAAGACTTGGGATTACTTGACTCCTGAGAAAGCATCAGAATTCAAAGGTTAAGTATTCTAGTTAACCCACTGGTCAGCAAGTCTTTATAAATGTAATTTGTAACCGATGGTTTAAGTATTCATGTTAAATGTGATGGGTGTGAAATTTGATTGCTGAATTGATGTGTCACTTGTTTCAATTCTAATGAACGTTCTGTTCCTAATTGCAGGAGAAGTGCAGTGTGAACAACCTAACAATTCGTTATACACATTCACTGGCAATCTCATCATTGACAAACAAACATTACCTCTCACTCCAAACGAAATTATGTTGCGAGTATGATATGTGATTTATTTCTCATACTTCTATTTGTTTTTCTTTTGACAATTATGAATTTATTTTAGAATGTGATTTTGATAGCTTCTCATGGATTTCCACCCCCTTTTTTCTGTAAATGTACTTTTGCAGCCGATAACAGTAGTCTTTTAATAAACTGTACATTCTTGCACTTGAATTTTGTATTGAACTAGTTGCCATGCAAGAACTTTTTTCTTTGTATTCTAAATATAGAATTGTGCATTAAGTGAATCTCTGTATTGTTGATCCCTAATATTGTTGCATTATTTGTTTGATGTTGATTTTGATTTTGACTCTCATATCAATTTGTGAAACTGACCTGGAAAATTCATTGGAATTGGGACTTTGCTATGTTTTTTTTTCAGGGGTGCAGTCTCAGGAACACTGAGTACATGGTTGGGGCTGTTATATTTACAGGTCATGAAACCAAGGTATGTTATCATGAAATGCAGTAAATTAAAAGTACTTTCTTATCGCCCACTTATATGTTTTATGTGTTGTATTAGAAGCTGCTTGCATTTTCATCTTATTTTATTGGTATGTGCCCCTTGCTTTTGCATCTTCTGTCTATGAATTATAGAAATTTTACAATTTTTGGTTAAATTGCAGGTTATGATGAATGCCATGAATGTTCCTTCCAAAAGAAGTACATTGGAGAGGAAACTTGACAAACTTATACTAGCACTTTTTGCTACTCTCTTTATGATGTGTCTTATTGGAGCCATAAGCAGGTATGAGAATGTGCTATTCTGTAATTTAATTATGTATTTTCCTTTGATGTATTTTCCTTTTAGTTTTCCACATGATGGATGTTTTTGCTGTATGAAATTCTACAGTGGTGTATTCATCAACCACAAGTACTACTACTTAGGTCTCCGGGGAAAAAAGAATGAGGACTCAGCATACAGCTCATTTGACCCTGATAACCGTTTCCTGGTAACATATTCTATCTACAGTGAAACAGTTGCTGTACAGTGGGTTTTTTTTTCTTCAGCAATTCATTTTTTACCATTTGTTTTTGCTTATATTGTTTGTTGGTGATATAGGTTATCATTCTGACGATGTTTACCCTCATTACTCTGTACTCAACTATAATCCCTATTTCACTTTACGTTTCTATTGAGGCAAGTTTCTTTGCTTAATACTGTATCTGCCTGCTAGTAGAATGTAAAATGGTATTTTTGACGGGTTCAAAAGTTTATTAGTTCTTTTTATCAATTTCAGATGATCAAATTTATTCAGTCTACCCAATATATCAATAATGACTTGCGTATGTACCATGTTGAAAGCAATACCCCTGCCTTGGCTAGGACTTCAAATTTGAATGAGGAACTTGGACAGGTAAGTTATCCCATATTTAATTCAGTATGCAGAAGCTTTTTTTTTCCTCCTAATATTATTCTATTTTTAAAAGTTATTATTACAGGAAAAATTTTTAAATGTCACTATTTTCATTGTCTTTATATAGTTACTGTTATTGTTATTACTATTAATTACTATCATCATCGTCATATCTGTTATTAGAACGGAGAAACATTTACAATTTTTTAGTTTCTTTGAGGAATGGTCTTGTTTGAATATCTATCAATTTTCTACTTTAAAATGCTGTTTTTCAAAGGTGACAGTCTATCTATTGGTCAGGTGGAATACATTTTTTCTGATAAAACTGGAACTCTAACAAGAAACTTGATGGAGTTCTTCAAGTGTTCAATTGGAGGAGAGGTCTATGGAACAGGTATCACTGAAATAGAAAGGGGAGTAGCACAGCGGAATGGTATAAAACTTGATGAGGTCTCTCTCTCTCTCTCTCTCTCTCTCTCTCTCTCTCTCTCTCTCACTATTATATATGTTAATTTTATATACATATGAAATGGAAAAATCTTCCTCTGAATGAAATTATGATTATAATGTTTCTTGCAGGGGTACAAGTCAGCCAATACAGCGCATGAGAAGGGATTTAACTTTGATGATGCCAAGCTTATGCGAGGAGCTTGGAGGAATGAGCCTAATCCTGATCTTTGTAAGGTAGATTTTGTTAGTTGTTAGAAGTTTATTAAAGTATTCTTTTGTTCCGTATAATCATTGTGGCATGGAGTTACTTCCAGCATGCTCAATGTTGGGAGTTCTTATTCTCCCTTTTCTCTTGGATTATAATAGCGTTTGCATCTGTGTGTGTTTCTTTCTTTTCCATCTGGTTTGTGGTTTATAGGAGTTTATTTTTTAGAGGGAATTTCATACAGGCTTATTCTTGTGATGACTGAATTAGTTAACTCAGAGTCTCTGACATACTATGAAGGCATATCATAAATTGTTAGCTTTGACAATTGTATTGATCGTTTATGTTCTATTGGTAGGAATTCTTCAGATGCCTTGCTATATGCCACACTGTGCTTCCTGAGGGGGAAGAGACCCCAGAAAAAATCACATATCAAGCTGCATCCCCTGATGAGTCCGCTTTGGTAATTGCTGCAAAGAACTTCGGCTTCTTCTTTTACAGGTTTGCACTTCTCAGTTCTGTCTTATTTTATGGGAATGCTATATGTCATACTTAACTTAAGATCTGGCTCTGTGAGGTTTTCCTGTCATGAAAAATGGCTTATTTTATTGTGTGAGGGGAGGTTCAGTTTGGTCTCATTACAGGCCATTTGGTAACTTTTCCATTTTTAGTTTTTCTCATTTTCAAGTTTTTTGTTTTATTCATTCTTTATTTCTCCGTCATCTCTTCCACCACCCTTCATCTCTCTTTTCATTCATGTATTTCGTCTCTATCTCTAACAAGAAACCAACGGGCCCTACATAACACTGAATTTTGTTTCCATCTTATCTGTAAATAAAATTCCAAATGTTTGAAATGTAGCTATTCTTTTTGGTGCTAAGAATGCTGTTCTTATTCTTTTGCTGGTCCTGCTAGAAGTGCTTTGACAGAGCTGTTCTAAATTTAGGCTAGTCCATCTTAATTTAAGGCTGATATGTTTCTTTTTCTATCAGACGTACTCCTACTACGATATATGTTCGTGAATCTCACATTGAGAAAGTTGGTAAAATACAAGATGTGTCTTACGAGATTCTAAATGTGCTTGAGTTTAATAGGTGGGTTATGTCCTTACATATATATGTTTACATTTTTTTTCGGCCTGGTACTTTTATATTTTCATGGTTAATTTCACTAACATTTTTTCTGTTGCATAACTAGTACGAGGAAGCGTCAGTCTGTTGTATGCCGTTATCCAGATGGCAGGCTTGTCTTGTACTGCAAGGTAATACTTTATTGAGGCTTTCATATTGGATGAAATTGCTGAGCAGTTGGGAAAGAAATTGACATTACGCCAGGAACCTGCTGTTGACAGGGTGCTGACAATGTAATATACGAGAGATTGGCTGATGGACAGGATGATCTAAAAAAGGTATCTAGGGAACACTTGGAACTATTTGGATCTTCTGGACTACGTACTCTTTGCCTGGCCTATCGAAATTTAAGCCCTGATATATATGAAAGCTGGAATGAGAAATTTATTCAGGCTAAATCCTCTCTACGGGATCGTGAAAAGAAGTTGGATGAGGTATGCTCTGTTGAATCTGGCTTTGTATTGAAGAAGTGTCATTTTCTGGTTTTGGCTTGTTTTCATTAGCTTTATTTCTTTTGAGTTCTGTTTTCGTTATTCTTCTGTTGACACTATTTTTTTTCTCCTTTTTTTATTTATTATTTTTATTGAAATTGATATCAACTCATTGCAAATTAATTTTATAATCAATGAAGGTGGCTGAACTTATAGAGAAAGATCTCATTTTCATTGGATGCACTGCCATCGAAGATAAGCTTCAAGAAGGAGTTCCAAATTGTATAGAAACTCTTTCAAGAGCTGGTATTAAGATTTGGGTACTAACTGGGGACAAGATGGAAACTGCAATAAATATAGCTTATGGTAAGTCAGTATCTTATGAGAGCTGGTGCTTCCTTCACCTTCCATCTCAGCTTTGTTATTTGCTTGCTTCTCTCTCTCTCTCTCTGATGTTATTTCTTTTTCATTGTAAATTTTGTGCAGCATGCAATTTGATCAACAATGAAATGAAACAGTTCATTATCAGTTCAGAAACTGATGTGATTAGGGAAGTTGAGAACAGGGTATGCAAAGGCTTATATCTTACTCGTTTAGCTTGTATGTAGATTAGAAATCACTATCTACCATGGTATTTTCCATTTACATAGCACTTTGCTGATTTAGGGAGACCAAGTGGAAATTGCACGCGTCATTAAAGAAGAAGTCAAAAAACAGCTAAGGAGGTGCCTCGAGGAAGCACAGAACTATCTTCACACTGTTACTGGACCAAAATTAGCACTCGTGATAGATGGGAAATGTTTGATGTATGCCTTAGACCCCAGTCTACGAGTGACACTACTTAACTTGAGCTTGAATTGTAACTCTGTTGTTTGCTGTCGAGTTTCCCCTTTACAGAAAGCACAGGTGAGGTTTTAATGGAATTTTAACTTCAGCATTATTTGTTTGAGCAATTAGCAGATGATGAAAATTGAACTGAATTTATAATGAACCTTTATGAATTTCTATTTTATGATGAAAATTGAATTTATAACTTGTTTTAATTTAGGATGTAACACTATCATTATAACCATTATTGGAAGCTGAAAACACCTAGAATAGCTTCCAGGAATTGTACCCATTGAACCAGTTACGAAGTGTGGGTTAACAAGTTTTAGTTCTTAAAATTTGATGCAGTGTAGTTCTTTCTCTGATTACATTGCCACTGTCTTCAGGTAACGAGTATGGTAAAAAAAGGTGCACGGAAGATAACACTTAGCATTGGTGATGGTGCCAATGATGTGAGCATGATTCAAGCTGCTCATGTTGGCGTTGGAATAAGTGGGCAAGAAGGAATGCAAGCAGTGATGGCCAGTGATTTTGCTATTGCTCAGTTCCGCTTTCTTACTGATTTACTGCTTGTGCATGGACGGTGGTCATATATTAGATTATGCAAGGTTTGGATTTCTTTTAATGTACAAAAAACTTGACATCTGTTGGGTGGTTACAAGCTTGACAAATCTTATCGCTTTTTTTCAGGTTATTACATACTTCTTTTACAAGAATCTTACATTCACTTTGACTCAATTTTGGTTCACCTTTCAAACTGGATTTTCTGGTCAAAGGTTTTATGATGATTGGTTTCAATCACTGTATAATGTCATATTCACAGCCTTGCCTGTAATCATTGTTGGCCTTTTTGACAAGGTACTCTATTCTTTCAAGACAATTAATAATGCCAAATGTTACTGCATCTGTAGAATAAAGTATTATTTCGGTCATTGCGTTTTCACTGCATATTTATGCACGAGGGGTGTATATCACCACATCTTCTCTATATTCACTAACTTAGATGGATAACTGTTTTTGATTGTTGACTTGTGTTTTATTTATTTATCAGGATGTCAGTGCATCCCTGTCCAAGAAGTACCCTGAACTATACAGGGAGGGAATAAGAAATGTCTTTTTCAAATGGAGGGTTGTGGCAGTATGGGCTTTCTTCTCTGTTTACCAATCTTTAGTCTTCTATTATTTTGTCACGACCTCCAGCGATAGTGGTCAAAATTCATCTGGAAAGATGTTTGGAATTTGGGACGTCAGTACAATGGCCTTTACTTGTGTAGTAGTGACTGTCAACTTGCGTCTGCTTATGATGTGTAATTCAATCACAAGGTGGCATTATATTAGTGTTGGAGGAAGCATTTCAGCGTGGTTTATATTTGTCTTCGTATATTGTATTATAGATCATAAGGTGGGTGTTTTCTCCTTAGCTGATAACTTTTCGTTTATTCTCTTAAGATCTCTATCAAATTATTTGAGATATGCTAACGTATTTATTTTTGCTGCAGAAAAATCTGTATTATGTCATATATGTCTTGATGAGTACCTTCTATTTCTACCTGACACTTCTGCTAGTCCCCATTTTTGCGCTATTTGGTGACTTCGTTTACCAAGGGTAAGAAAATGAGATCTTTATTGCAGTAAGCATCTTTTCTAAAGAAGGCCAACCTAAGAAAATGAGATCTTAAAGAACGTGAAAATATAGAAAATTAGTCTTGGCTTTGCAACTAAAGATGGCCAAACTAAGCGGCCATCTTGGTTTCTGCTCAACTGACTGACTGTTTTTAGGTGTTCTATTATTTATGAATTAATCAATGTAATTTGGATACAGGATCCAAAGATGGTTCTTCCCTTTCGACTACCAGATTATTCAGGAAATGCACTGGCATGAGCCAGAAGGTAGAAGCAGGGATGATTTACTGGAAATTGGAAACCAGCTTACGCCAGATGAGGCAAGGAGCTATGCCGTAGCTCAACTCCCACGGGAGGTATCGAAACACACTGGGTTTGCTTTTGACTCGCCTGGATATGAGTCATTTTTCGCTTCCCAGCTAGGAGTGCATGCCCCTCAAAAGGCATGGGATGTTGCTCGGAGAGCCAGCATGAAGAGGACGGTGAAAAAGAAATAAACTGAAACATGGTTATTTTTGTATAAATTTTAATTTTGAGGTTGAGGCGTAGGAAAATTTGTAAATTAGCTGTGCCATATCATTAGATCTAGTTCTTCGATATACTTTTCCTTCCACCTCTAGTATTTGTTTTGTCTTCCAGGAACTGTAGTGGTATCCAGGGTTTGTCACGGTTGTACATTTACATGATGTAAACTTAGAGAAACTCCATTCTTTTTGATAGTGCAAGCCAAACTGTACCTCTACTTTTGTTCTATAATTTATTCTTTTATCTTCTTTTAATCAATCGTGAGAAGTTCATGTTCTTCAGCACGCGCTATATCCATGTATTGCATTGGCATAAAACGATGTCGTTTGGCTTTAAATGGGAAACTAAAATTGATAAATAAAACACGTGGATCAAGGGAATTATCAGTCAATAACAAAGAGACGGGAGAAACAATACAGCTAAATTCATTCAGATGTGCAGTCATCTTTCTCAAAAGTACAGGTTCAGCCACCTTCTTCAAAAGAGCTGAAGAACCTTGCCATCTTTTCTGAAAGGGATTGCTGGCTTTCATTTAATGATTCTTCATCTCCCTCATACTCATCATCACCTTCATAGACCAAATGGATCCCCCACTTCTTCAGCTCAACCCCTTTCATCTTCGGTGGCTCTCTCCGTATCACACGTATGTTATAACCATCTTTCAACTTAGAAACCAAGGGATGGTGAATTGGGTATCGGCACAAGTGAACTTGGTCTTCATTTGTATTTGGCACTCCCAATAAGATCAAAGCTGAACAGAAGATAGAAAAATCCAGTACGAGGATCTGAGCTAGAATGTCTACTATTGCAGGGAGTTCTTCTCTTGTGTCATCTGGTATTTGCTGGTTGAGAGAGACTACAACAGCTATAATCACACTTTTGAGAACACGGTTTTTTCTTTCTGAGAATGTAACCACATCTTGAGAAAACCAGTCTGGTATCTTGCTCCCGGGAATGCTAAGATTGCGTATTTTCGTCATGTAGCTCTGCAACAAAAAATTTCAAATCTATGATTGTGTTTCACTTTCTTATACATGTACACACATATAGTATATACACGGAGAGAGAGAGAGAGAGAGAGAGAGAGAGAGAGAACCTTAGCAAGTCTTTTCTTAATAGCTGATGAGCAAGCTGTGCAACCACTTGCATACAACCTTACCAAGGACTTCAAGCATTCAAGTCCTGGAATGTCCACAACTTTCTCACAACTTGTAAGGTTCAGCATCGCCAAGTTCTCGAGGTTTGAAATATCAGAGATACTTTCTAATACGGTACAGTTTGCAACATCAACTTCTTCCAAACTTGAGGGAAGCAGAGGCAGAGCCTTGAGCTTTTTACAGTGAGGTAACAGAAGTTTTTTTAGAAGAGACAGGTCCCTCAGGCTGGCTGGAAGGCTATAAAAGTTATTATGGCCTAGATTCAATGTTTCGAGTGATGACAACTTCTCGAAATCATGTGCAATTTTACTAGATATATTACAAGCACCAGCATGCAGTTCATATAGCAGTGACAGATTTGAGAAGGAAGTAGGGAGCATAAAATTAATCTCTTCTGTTTCTTCCCTCTTTTGATGCTTCTTCCCCATATTTAAAACCATTAAACTGGACAGCATTCCGAAGCTTTCGGGTAGTTCTGTCACTGCAGTTTCCACCATCAGCAATCTGTGCAAGGAATTCAATTGTCCTATTGAAGCTGGAAGCTTGCAGAGGTGTTTACATCTGTTCAACTGTAACATGGTAAGGTTTTCCAGCATCCCTATCGATTCTGGCAACTCAGTAATATCAGCTTCAGTTATGACTATTGTAGTCAATGCCCTCATGCTTCCAATTGATTCTGGTAATGATCTAAGAAATCCACATTTCGTCATCTCAAGCTTCTCAAGTGACTTCAAGGCACCAATCTCATGTGGAAGATCTGTGATTAATGTCTGATCTATTTTTAGCACAACTAGAGAATTCAAACCTCCAATTGAATCAGGCAATCTGCACAAAATTTGACCGTGTCCTGTTGATAATTCCTTCAAGTTTGATAATGAACCCATGGACACAGGAAGATCTTTGATTCCGCTACCGTAAGTATGAAATTCCATTAACGAACTGAGGTTGCCAATGGAATCAGGAATAGTTGTCAGTGATTTACACCAGAGCAAACTTAGTTTCTCAAGGTTTGCCAAATATCCAAAGGAAACAGGTAGTTTTTCTAAAGCAGAATCGTTGAGGGAGATTTCTTTCAGAGAATGCAACTTTCCTATCAACTCAGGTAGCCCTTTCAAATGTTTGCACCGGTTCAAGCTGAGCTTTTCGAGTTTTGAAAACCGGAAAATAGATTCAGGAAGACTTTTTACAGCAGTGCCATCAAGGAGAAGTTCTTTTAATGATACCATGCTGTCCATGTTGCTTGGCAGTTCTTTCAGTTGTAAGCAACCAGAGAGGATTAGGTTCTCAAGTTTTGTCAGGCCGGAGACATCATTTGGAAGTTCAACGAGGTTTACACAGTCTCGAAGGTTCAAGTGGACCAATGTACGCAAATTCCCAATCGAGGCATGAAGCTTAGTCAGTTTACTGCAACGCTCAAGATTAAGCTTTTCCAAGGCCCGACTCCCAGATAAATCAGGAATGTGGGTTAGGTTAAA